TTAGCAAAACGACCAATTTCGGCCACTAAAAAAAAATCCCAGCGTTTTGAAATTATCAGGCTTTCTTTAGGATACTTTGAGGTTGAAAAGTTACAGTCGATATCCTTAGTTTATTCATTATTTGCAAAATAAATAGATGCATAATTTTCTAGACCAATGGAATTGTGTCTTCCACATAGAAATCGTCTCTTTAAGGGATATTTTTCAAGAATTGTATTGTACTTTTGACAAAATTGTTGTAATCAATTTAAAATTCGTCATTTTTTCTCTTATTTCTGACTTTACAGAACCACTTATTATAAACTTCTTGGTCAATCGCAAATCCTTCAATTTTTAGTAAATTTTCTACCTTGGATTGGAATCTTCCTTACAAAGCTTCATTGAGTCGGCTTTGTTTTTGTTTTATTTCCATTTCGATCGAACATCAATCTCTTTACACACCTTTTTTTTTTCTTGTAAAAAAACAGTTGAACACTCACTCAAAATTTATTAAAAAAAATTTAACAAAGCATTTTTACCGCTTAGGGTTTTGAATGCTGAGATTGTAATTTTTCAAAAAGAATTGTAAACTGACAAAAGGTGACCGAAAATGGAAGTATCAACTTGGTTGCTTCATTTATAAAACCCACCTCGTCAATATTCATTCGTGCAATAGAAAACGGTTCCCTCTGGAAATTTCCAAATTATTTTAGTGACTGTTACATATTCGAAGCACTCGTTTAATACGTAAACAAACTGAAACTTAACAGTAGTGGCAAACTATTCCGACCAATTTCGCTAGAAAATTTAAAATCCTGGGGTTGTCGCGTAACACTTGCAGGATTTCAGTTGCGATGCACTGGTTGGAAGTAGTTTGGGAGCAAAATTGCCGACAAGGTAAAGTTTTAAGCCGTCCGTTCTGCATACCCAATGCAAGTAATTGGTTTTATTTCTTTGCAGCTCAGCCCATCCCAATCTGTTCGAGTACATAAAACTAGTTTGTGGCATAAATATGAACAAGTTATTTCGACCTAGAGTATGGTTTTAACAAAATCGTATTACTCACTGTGATAAGGTTTTATCTGTGGTACTGCACTTAATAAAGAAATTAAGACTGATAAATTAAGGCACCCAAGTACAATTTTACTGATTTGGATGTTATCTGTGTGTAATATTGGTTTGGTTATATGCTATAGGCCGTATACAATGCAACGATAATGTGAACTAACAGCATGTATCTCTGCGATTGATCAGAGTTGACGTTCAATCACACCTTCTTAGGGCTCCGCCATTCCTTCCCTTCTATCTACCTATTGTGGATTTTCGAATTTCGGACAATTGGAATGGAGAGATCTCTGTTTCAGCACCGAGCTGAGAATGTGGACAATGTCTATCCTAACTCAGTACGCTTGAAGTGGTATTCGAATCCATTCGAAAGATCCGTGAAAATTTTGATTCCTAGCCGATGTTTGGTTACATGTCTTTTTGTCACGAATTGGAAACATGGGTGAAATTTGAGAAACAATCTGTAAAAAAATTAAGAGCTTTCCTGAAAGTTACTGCAATATAAAACTGTAACATTTCACAGCCAACATTAAATTCTGGCAAAGCCGTCTCGACTCCTGCAAGGTACCCGAGATAAAACACTAAACTAATTAAGATCTGAGTGTCCGAGTGGTCGTGAAAGGGCAGTAACAAACGGGACGTACGTCGTACGGTCCGAGTTAAAATTAAATCACGCCGTGACTCCGCCGCTGCTCCGGGTCCCGGAACTTAAACGGTTCAAGTAGTTTTACGGTCGCAGGTGGGACCGGCGGTAATAACATATTTTCCGTAATTCCATTTCGCACGAGACTGCCTCTTGAAGTCGAAACGGGCGGCAGGCGTGAACTTTCGTCTGTTTGACTTCGGCTGAAAAATAATTTCCCTGCATTTGAATATGTGTTTATCTAAAACGAGGAATTTTAAAAAAATATTGTACAGGGTGTTGCAGTAATGGGCAATAGGTAACACAACAAAAGAGGCTTCTTGACATTAAATGTTACTATTTAACCAAACTTACCTTGGCCCAAAATTTGATATTAAGAGAGATACAGGATGATGAAGTACGTTTTTCCTAAAATTTCTAATACACTGTAAAAAATTTAACTCAAATTTCACTCAATTTTACTCAATAATGTGAAATTTTCACTCTTTAGTATGAGTACAACTGAGTGAAACTATTGCATCAGAAATGAGTGAGTTTTACTCAAATCTGAGTTACTGCCAGCTATCAATTGAGTGACTTTTGACTCTATTCTGAGTATATGACTGAGAATTCAGAGTTGACTTTCTCTAATATGATTTAAATTTAACTATTATTGAGTAAATTTTTACTCAGACTTGGTATTTAATTAACTAAATATTGAGTGCAAAAATAAATCACTCATAAATTATTAATTAGGATATACAGGGTTGAAATTAATTAGACGCTATACAGCGTGTTCTGCAAATGATGAACTTTCAAATTAGGAGAGATATTGTAAAAATAAAGTCAGATAAAGAGCAATAATAAATTTAAACTATTATTGATCTTCATCCCACCAAAACGTTGATCTAATTTTTTTGCTGAATTATTTTGACTAATGAGAGATAATTGAATTAAAAAATCTCAAATAACACATTTTGATTTAAATTTTTAGAATGATATCGTTATTGTTTGTTTAAATCTATACAGTTCTCATAAAATATAGGCACGTATATAATTTTATAACATTTTTCGGAACCGCGAATGGTTAAAATGTCCCTGCAATAAAATAAATCCACTCTTTGTTCGGTTTTATAATTCACGTGTTCATTTATTGTTCGCCGGCCATTGAATGCAACAACTATTAAATTAACAACAAAAAATACCGCAACCGACGACTTCTCATCAATATCACAAACACAACAATTTTAATTCGGAACTTATCCTGTATCCCAATAAATCCATTTATAGCACTAATTAATAAATTTCGATAACAATAGAGATGGCCGTGTTTGCGTCCGCACACATATGAATTTAATTTTAATTTATCCGGACAGAATCGCCAGTTTTCAGCCTGTTTCTACATATTTGTGGCCATTATCTACGAATAATTAGTGTTGTAAAATTTAATCAAATATCCCCAGTACGGTGTTAATAGCTGATTCGTTGTTAATTACTTTGGGTGATGAATACTGATTTAGTAAACAATGCATTTTTTGTCAAAACTAGTACCTACTTTGGACCATCAAGAAAAACGACAAAAAATTAAAATATGTGTACTTATATTAAAATTTCTCTCACACATCACACACTCATTTGAATGTTGTAGAATTGGTAGTTATATGGCTCAAATTTGTAACAGCGCATAATAAATCTGAAGCAGCGCACATCTCAACAACGAGCGTATAAAGTCACAGTGTTGTTTCAACATAGGTCGACGGATTTGTCTTTATTCTTCTGATATTGTCTCATTAAAATTCATGTTACAACTGTCTACTGACAAATTACCTGATAAAGTCTGGAATAATTCTTTTCTCATTGTTAAAAACTGGCCTATGCATAAGCTAACAGTTAAAATAAAAAGTTATTTGCATCAAATCATATAAAGCAGTGTGTGATATATTCTGTATTCGCGTCAGAATAAGCCACACGTTCAAGACAATTACGTTCAAGTGTGTATAAACTTTGCAGTTTCGGGAAAAGGTGTTCTCCCTCTTCACTATGGAACGATGAATTCAAATGTGGCTGGTGAGTAACTGGTTCAAGTTATCCGCAAATTCTAGGTAGAAACCGAACCGTATGAAATCGTTTACATAAAATTTGCATTAACTAATTTCAATCTCAGTTCGCTTTCACTTACTTGTTAAATTTGGTTTAGGTCTCGATGATCTGAGCCGGTATATTCGGTTGAATTAATTCGTTTTAATGGGGTATTTTGAACAAATAAAATAAAAAAAAATTATGTAAAAATGTAGATTGAATCTTGTCGTACTATAAGCGGATTTTAGCAAGGGAGGGCATATTCCTCGACATGGCGCCCAACGTGGGGCCACAAAATCAGAAATGTCAATGTACATACAATATATTGAATGTGATGCTTTTATTTATTCTAAGCAGACCATTGTGACTAATATTGGGAGAAATAACAAATTCTATATTTATCTTCGATCTTTGTTAGCAATGTAGGGTGTAGCGCTGAACCTGTGACAAGTCAAATGTGATATTTAGTTGGAAACAGTCACTAAAATACCTCCAAAACTGTACTGTATGACGCCACGCCATGAAATGGGGGATCACTGACGTAGAAATGCTTCATATTGGAAATGATTGACTGTTAATTAAAATGAGAGCCACGCATTGAATGCATATGAAGTTTAGCTTGATACTTGCAACGTGTTCTGAAAAATACGTGCAGTCGCATTACATAAACAAGAGAGAAGTCGTACGCACAATAATCATGCAATTAATACTTTCCTTTTGTATTTTAATAGTTGAAATTTACTATTTACTACACGGGTGGCTACACGGGCTACACGGGTCTCGTACAGTTTATGTATGATAGCATGGTCTTGAGTTACAGATTTTTTTTGCTCTGTTCTCATTACCATTTATCGCGGACCACACGCATGCGGAAAATGTTGTGTGACCCAGGCCTCTAGTAGGCTGCCACAGCCACGTCCCCGAGCCTGCCTTAGGTCACCCATCCAAATTCCAGCCTGCGTCCGTGATGCTTACCTCGGCAGATCGAAATCCACCGGCCAAGACACCCGGCTAGGCGGTCCCCAAAAAAACTACATACATATTTTTATTTCTAATCGTACTTGTTTAAGTTTTTAAGAATTCCTCTTTAGACATAAAATGTATTCAGCAATTTTCCATTACGTGTCTTTGGTACTGGGTTCTATACGTCAAAGAATACACAAAATGCAACAGTGTTGATACTGATGCTGTATTTTTACTTTTTTATTATTTTTTTCTAAAATAACAGCCTAATAAGAAAACCACCTTGTTACAGACTCCCCCAAGAAGGCGTATCTAATGATCGACAACAGGATCCTGGACCCGGGCAATCCATTCATTCCCGTCAAGGAGAACGCCGACTTGACCGTCTCCTGCGTCGTGGACGAAGGCAACCCTAAGCCTTCCCTATCCTGGGAACTCACACTGGGCTCGCTGGCTCTACTAGATGCTCCTGAGGTGCCCTTGGAAGTCCTCAACCTTACCGAGACGGTGCGCGACCAAAAAGTGGGCGCCAGGAACGACGCCAGGCTCGGTAGGGTGCTAAGGGCGCACCACAACGCCACCTTGACTTGTTTCGTGAGGCATATCGCTCTGGAGATGCCCCTTAATGCGTCTGTGCTTCTTAACGTCCAATGTGAGTACAACAAATCAATATTAAATGCTGATGTTTACTATAGTTTTACGGGTTGTTACCTTGGCCACATCCTTGTTGTTCTTGGGCTAGGATCTGTAGGGGCGGACCTGGTATCAGAACCTCTAGGACCCCTGACGTTCATTTCGTTTCCTGTTTTTTATTCTAAGGCTGCTACGGATGAAATGCAAATGCTAATGCTTCCAAACGTTTCGCCGTTCTTCACTGGCGGTATCTTCAGTGAACTCTTTAAAAAAGCGACTTCGACACAGGCAAGTCGCATTTAACGTAGTTCTGGAGAGTATACTTTTCCCTAACTTTTCCATGAATTTTTAAATTTTAAAGGAAAAATGTCACTTCATGTTTTAGTATTAGTCAGTTCTACAGCAAATTGGGTTTTCTTTTTTATAAATTTTGTGTAAATTTTTTATAGTTAGGCATAGCATATTTTTATCATTTTGCATCTCGAAGAAGGTGCATTTTAATTTTTAAAGGTGTTACATATTCTTGAGTTTGACATTAAATCTGACTCATCCTGTATATTAGCGGGGTGTGTTAGAGCATTTTACCTAAGAAATTCACCAATTGTCGACCTGCAAGCCAATGAATTACTTTAATGTCTAAAATATGTCAGTGGGTACTGAAAAACGACAGTCGTTTGCAATAATTCCATTTTATTCGCGCTTAACTGTAGAAGAAGAAATTTCGCATAAAATACAACAATTATGCCATGCAGCGCCGTAGGAGCGTCACATAAACATACCGCGTATAATACGAGTGGATTATGAAAAGGAGTTTAGTTTTATTCAACCCCCTTTTTTCAGATAAGATCCGTTTTATGACGTTTTCTAATCCAAAATACTCGTAAAACGGAGTCGTTCGTTCTTTCTGGGGAAGAGACGGCATCGTATTGACCCGTTTTCTGATAATAACAGAACCGAGTACTTGCTTCCGTAAGTTCGAAATTTAGTTGTTCCAGACAGCCAGCGAGAAATATTCTTTAGGCTTTTTATTAAGTTTAACATTCTCGCGCAATGCCGAGAAATTTTCCCGCAAATAAATATTAAATATGTTTTCGTAACTACCAAGAGGACAATTGAATTTTACTCTAGGAAAATTTCAGCTATCCGGTTTTGTGTACAATTTTTAGAGCTGCTTCCAAAACAACGTTTCTAATTCCAGATTATTTTTTGAGAATTTCATGATGTATTGTTCATTATTTACGATTCATTAAAAAATAGTCGCCAAGAAGAGCAAAATCTTAAGCTGAATTAAAACTAGAACTAAACTAAGAAGTAGACAATACAAAGTTCTAGGATCACAATATAATTAATATCTTTACATACCACTTCCAAATATTTGATGTATTATTTATATTTTAGAACAATTGCGGTAGGTACTCGAATAGATTAATATCTGCTTGCAAATTTTAACAGTCATGCAGGTGCTAAATTATTTAAACAAAGAAAAGAGCAGGGGGCCCATCCCTGTGGTATACTTAATGCAATTTTTAAGCATAATTGTCATCTTATTAATTTATTATTCCCGTCAACATATACCTCTAGAGTCTATGAAAGGGCTGTCATGCAATTTGAGTACATATTCTGCACTCAATGAGACTGAACAAAAGTTTTCCATGCGGTGTTAGATCAGTGCATTGGACGGGGATAAATCAAGGAAACTCTTAATCAGATTCACCAGTCCCTTGGCCAGAAGCGGTATACCCATCCAGCAGTGGGTTTAACAACAAGTCAACATGAGCATAGACGTAGGGGAGATATGTGTTTAAAGTTCAGGACCAACAACTTTTGACAAATTATTTTTCCAGAACTTATTTTTGTTTGGTATTTTCTACCCATTAAAATAGCACTATCGAGCTGTATATGATTGAATGAATTATTTGAGTACATTTTTGCTAGCACTAGTTTATCTTTTTGTTTATTATTATCAGCTGGATTCAACAATATAAATTTTAAATTTTAAAAAATAATGTTATCTTAAAAACTACCCGTTATAATAATTATTTTCTAGTATTTTCTGTGGTGTGTATGTACTATATGCGTCTATCTGTAATTGGGGGTAAGTTAAACAAATAAATACACTCCTAAATCTAGTTGCACATATTTCCCCACTCGACCCCATCCGAACGGAACAGTCCCAACTCAAACATTGGGCAGAACTTAGCAAATTGAAGTGTGCCTCGCTTTTGACGACATACTTGCACGCCTTATTGACTTACAACTTAAGTATGACTATTTATTGTAACTGCCGTATTTGCCGAGGAGTAAAGCAGCTACATAAATTATTTAATAACTCCTATTACCGTCACTTACGAAAAGCGGCATCCTTAGTAGTAGTAAGCAAGCAATGAATAATTACTGTATTGTTCGAAGGAGCATGGTAAATCCGCTCCACATTAGTTGGGAGGCTCTTCCATTTATTTTATTGTTATTAGTGGGCAATAACGTGTAATAAGCTTATTCTAGACTATAATTAAAACACAATTTACGTGTAATAGGGAGAGTTCTTTGATTTATGTGACAGGTACAACGAATTAACCTAATTATAATGAAGACGTGAGTCCACAAATAAAGTAAATATTTTTTCTGAAATCGTTCGGAAATGTGTATTTTTTCGGCTCAATTTCAAGCCGCAAAATACCGATTCTAATATTTTAGTTCGGTGCTAAGCAACGATCAGCAAACAGTACGAGAGAGTTACTTTTCCGGGCTATTACACAGCCACACAAAAAAAAATTGTCTGTACTTTTCATGCGACATATTTATGTTATCCGTAGTATTTTTGCCTGCTGATTACGAATTCGTTGTCGCAAAAGCGTATTTAATTAAAAGCTTTGGTCCTAAATCATTCAAATTTAATTGATGCAGTTCATCACTGCGACATGCATCGGCAACACCAAATATTAAGGCAACCTAAAGTGTATATTATCTGGTTCTTGAGTAATTAAGATCTGAGGACTATAGAATTTGTTTTTCCATTATTTTCCATGATAAATTTCCCACATTTGGTCGAGAAGTTGTGAAATATTTTAATATCACAAAATTTTTCTAGGACCTGAAAACTATATTTTATGGGAGTGATTTTGATTCAAAATGTTGTGGAATACTATAAAATCTTTTGCAATATTTCAATATATTATTCATTGATACCGCAGTAAGTATTCTTAGGTGTATCTTAATGCTCACAAAATTTATAAAATTGCTGTTAAGCAATTAATCATCTAACTTAAAATGTAATACATATTTGATTCCTGTTTCTAAAATATAGGAATTGATTGATGAAGTTTTTCGTTTGTTTTTCATTGTTCTAACTCCGTCTTAAGAAAAACTCAATGGTTCAGTGTTTTTTTTAGTCGTTCTTTAAAAAAAACTAATTAGTGTTTTTAATTTAATTAATTAATTTTTAATTAATTATAATAAAATATGTCGAACTCTTCCGATTTAGTAATTAAATAACATTTTTTTATGATGTTTTAATCAAAATAATGATGGATTTATACTGTTTTCATATTTTCTCAATCAATTTGTAGGTATTTATAATTTTGAAATCATCTAAAAGAATGGCTAGTGTAAAATCCCTGACGGGATTTTTGCTGTCCATCTAAAAATTAATCTATAAAACAAACATTAAATAAAGTTCCCTGCTAGAGAATCCGCTTTCTGCATTAGCGAATGATTATGTTCATTGCAACCCGTTGGATATTATCTAATTAAGCCTTTGGTTCGCCTTTATACTGTGAAAAATAGAAAGAAATAACGAACTGGGTTATTTTAATTTTTAATAATTCACTTTCTTGCTACATTTGCTGTCAGAAATTGCTCTAGTACTGACGTCGTTAGACTCAAATCTAAACAGGACAATTTTATAAAGTAGACTATTACAGTCTTTTTAGAAGCAAAATATCCAAATAATAAATATGCAAAAGTAACAAAAATTACCCCACACTACGCAAATGCTGGGTTTTTTGAACCAGTTGAATTCGACCTAAATTTGCTACTGAATATTAATTAATTGAAATGAATGGCAAAACATTAGAGCTGCGGAAGACTATTAAGGGCGGCTGCATATTGCAAAATTGCAAGGATATTTAATCTGGAAATACCACGATCGTTAGCAAAGAGAGTAGTACCAGGAATTACAATTCCCCTTTAAATCAATTGGAACTTAACGTAATTTAAATTCAATAAACAATTCTTTACTGTAGTTTAGTAAAAGTTAAATCTCAAATATGAAAATTCGAAATCGAAATAACGCAGCATAATTTTCATTAAATAAATAAAATAAACCTTCTTCTCCTTTGAGTTCAAACAAATATTTAATAAAGCCTACTCTCAATTTAAATTTGTCAGTGTTGCCGTAATATTTATTGCGATTCTATTTATTAAATTAACACCTCAAGATGAAACTTCTTTTTACGAAAATTTACATTTCGAACAGCTTCCGTTTTCTTCCTTTCGAAACCTGCACATTTTATAACTTTTTATGTATCCCGTCATAGAATTTCCATCAAAGGAACTTAAATGTATTCATTTTCCATGCTACACTCCCACCAAATTTTATCAAACTTCGGAAAAGTTTCTTTTCTGGACGTGGAACGTCTGAATATAGAAGAGGTTTTCGGTACGGCTGGTATTCAATGCGTTTATAACTGTTGCTATAATCTCCCATTTGGCCTACTTCCGCCGCCGATACAACTTATAAAGTTATACTATGCTCCCCTTTCGACCTTTGTCACTAACTCGAACGGAAAATATTTCAACGAATAGAAATGCGACTTCAGTCAATATGTAACCATAAGTATATCCTACATATTCCCTCTCCCATAGAATCCCTCATTGTACTATATGTATCTCCAACTTGCCCTTTTGTACTTTTAACGCTGTACGCCACTGTGCCAGTCCGTATTAATAATTCAGAATCCCGTAACAACAAATCGACATAGCGTCGTAAACAGTTTTTGTCCGGCTGACAGAAATTTAATG